CACTCACATACATAACTCATGATCATTATATATACATATAAAGTACTAAAATATATATTAAATTTAAGGTTTTATTCTTAAAATAATTTAAAGAAAAAAACAATAAAATGACAAAATTAATAAGACACAACACACCTATTTTATCAGCTTAAGTATTAAAAATCGTTATTACTCTGTAGCTGTATAGTTCATGTTTACTATATTATTGACTATTATTGGCACAGACAAAATATTTATAGAATATAAAACAAGACAACAATAATATTGACTCTATCTAAGCGTAAATTTTTATTTTTATTTTATTAACACATATCTAAAAAAATAAAATCTAGGACCTAAATCAAAGGCTCTTTAAAAGTAAAATCTCAAGCTTTAAGTCACTGATGCAATATACACCCCCGCATTAAATCCGGCATTGGATACATGGCGCGACAGCAATACGAAAGTATGTTTTTTATTGAAACCCGACAGACGGGGATGTAACTGCATTAGCCTGCAATAGTATAATGCGGTAAACAGATATTTTTAATTTGTCCTTCGGGATACGCGATCACACTCAAAGGAGAAAGACTTTCTCGCACAATATAATAAGACAAAAAATAAAGGTCGCTCTGTCGTAGCCATGGTGACCCGGTGACCGTATGTATGTATATAATATATGATATCTATACGCACGACTTTATGGTTACTCAATCTCGTACACCGCACACACACACAAACGGGCGCAGGTTTATATATCGCACTATTTTTTCTCTTCTTTTTTTCACACAATGTTACAGTCACGGGGTATTCTTTATCCAATTTCGACGAACTCTCTATATTTCCCATCGTCATGAGCGAAGATGACCCGTCACGTCTGACGCCCGAGCCGCATCCGGAATACCAAAAGCTGCCGCCGCTGCTACTACGCAAAACTTGTTATCGCGCCCAGCCTTTTGCTCTAGACACACACGCGTGAGTCTAAGTTCATCTGATATACATCACGTACCATAATACACAACACAACAATCCCCAGGCCCCCAGTAACCTATTGTATCCGTTCTAGTCCAATTTAATGATGATCCCCAAATCCATTCACGAGATAAAAATATACATCAGGAGGTGTGCAAAAATCTAGCTATGTTTATGTATTTTTTAGATATTTTGGTTCCAGTATATTAAACGCTTATATTGAACCTTGAATTAAATTGTTAAGCCTTTTAGACAAAGCTGAAAAATTGCTACCGATAATTATAAAAAACAATTAAAAAAATTCTCAAATGCCTATAAATAGTTCAAAAAAAACCATTTTAAAATCATACCATGTATAGAAAATTCAAGTATAAACAGTTAGCGAAATTTACTAGTATTATTATAGATATCTGTTTTTAAGTTACAACTTACAAATAAACAGTAAAATCGTTCGATGAGAAATGATTATAAATGATTATATTACTCGGGAACATCTAATTTTATCGAAATTAAAACTTTATACACCCGTAAAAAATATTTGTAGAATTACGTTCTGTTTTTTTAGTTAACTTAAGGAACTTTGTATTAAATTTTCAAATCGTAGGTATGAAAAGAAAGATAAAATTCGACAAAAGTATTAATAATTTACTAATTTATCAATGATCACTTTTATAAACGTTTAAATAATATAAATATAACAAGAAAATAATAATATTATATTTTCTATTCTAACATCATATTAAAATACTCTTGTTTTATTCATACCAAAATCAATCTCGAGTCAGTGGTTTTTACATATTCAAGTACATGTATGTAATAAAAAGTTAGTATTTACAGAGATACAGGAAAATATTGGATGTGCACTGGCATGAAACACCGTTACAGTATTTATATTTTATTATAATAATATCCCAGACGCGCGTCATCTCACATTTCTTCCGTATTATCACGGAATACCTATTGGCTATTACATAATATACGGATGCAGAACGGGAGTTTACAATTGTCCTTAAAATTAACATTTTACATACCAATTACGCTTTGTACATTTTAGGGTCGATAGACCAATAATTGCACTCAAAATATTTTAAAATACTTATTAGTTATAATTATAAAATAAATTAATATAGACATCGATTATAGTTAGATTTTAAAAGCACCGTTTCACTTCCATCAGATAATATATTTTAAGGACACAATTTAACTACACACCTCCACTTAATTCCATTATTTGATTTAGTATACATTTTTGAAACTTAAAATCATCGAGAAGTAACAACGGTTTACCTTTTTCACCAATAGCTTGCTTAAATGCTTAAAACAATCCATATTGTGATGTCAAACAACTCAAACTAATACTAAACAAAAAGATATAAGTAACGGCTATATCATCAATGTGTTATCCTATATAGGTAGTACAGTATATATTGTGCAATAAAACAATTGGGCTGATAAATACCAACGATAATGAAAACTTATTTTCGTCTATCGCTCAAATTCATACTTGTGTGATCAAATGTCCGTAATAATAATAATTGTTTGTAAAATTCCCGATACTATTATAAAATATATTATAACCAGTCACTTAAACCAGTAATTAATTAATCAATAAATAAGTTTTTAATTGTTAAGCATTTTTGTGTGTAGATTGTTTTTGTCGATGTGGATGGATTAGATTGAACAATAATATTTTCATACCTGAGAATTTTATTACTGACCATAAAAAAAAATTTTGTTTTAGGTGCATTTGTCCCTGCTTTGTCTCATTTCATCGTTTTCTCTGTGCTACCAGGTAATCGGTCAGGTACCTAAAATATATACCATATTAATATTTTATTTCAATATACATTAAATTGTATTCGGTTTACCAAAAAGAATCTTGTCTAATATTATTAACATCAAAATCCACTCGTTAGGTAATCTGTCATTGCACACACGTCTATACCAAAGATAGACAACGTTTGAATAATTAATATCTGGCTACAACGTTACACCAAGATTATGATATCCGATAGGTATAGATAAGATCATTACTATAAATGATCGAGTAGTATACATTTAAAATGTATTAAATTTATTAGTTTAATGTTCCAGTGAAATATGGACAGATTTATCTTAAATCTACACTGATAAAACTTATCGTGTACCCAACAATTAATAAAAATAATATCTCATTTTAAAAAATTACGAAACTAGTCGCGCACTCTATGCGACTAATAAAGAGCTCATAAACCCATATCTACGTATTATCATTGATTATAGAACATACTTATTATACTTATTATATATTCTATAATCAATGGTATTATTATAAATAAACTGTAATAATACGTAATTTTTTTAAAAAGATAATCAAGATTTAGATTTTAAGATGAGTATTACAATTTACAATGTCTTTATAATTAATATGAATTATAAATGTATTCCCTGTCTTCTCGGCTAATATGAATATTATACCATAGTCATAAATCATTAAATTTAATCTAAAATAAATAGCAGTATAAAATTCTGCGTTACACTGTACACATACGCAGTCTATCTAATCTCAATTATTTATTGATCATAAAGATTTAGGGATTACTTATGATATTGATTCATATTTTATTACAATATTTAAGTCACCTATAAAATAAAAGATATGGGCTCCTTCTTCAATTTAGTTTTCATAACAAAATGATTATACTATTAATTATTATCCATTGTGCGGAGTTAGGTGGGAGAGGCATGTTAGTATTTGTCAAAGTGCAGTATTTTGAAACTTGAATTTTATTTAATTTTGATTTTTCTTTGCATAATCAAAAAATTTCAATTTTATTTGCATAGATACAACACATTTTCTGTATATCAACTATATATTTTCAATAAATTATGTAATTTATTAATACATTTCTTAGAATAAGTACCTACATATTATCAAGAATGACATAATCTGATATCAAACTCGATCTTAACTTTTTCATCATTAAAAAAAAAAAACATTGTTCGTAACTCATTACCTCAATATATATGTTCGAAGTAGGTAATAACTAATAACTATACGAATATTTTAGTAATCTCCTTTGCCCACTCAAAAATAAACCACCGCTACCCAAGTTGCATCTTTGCTGTAGGCAGTGGCGTATTTTGGGGAGGGGGTGTCTACGGTGTCTAGACACCCCCCAAACCAAAAAAAAAAAATTCAATAAGTATTTAATTTTGATAAATTTTGTAAGGAATTTGGCAAACAATAATACATAATTCATTATGAACTAATTTAATATTATATCAAGTCATAAACTAATTCGGAAAAAAATAAATTTAGTTTCAAAAAATGTACTTATTATCCTATTATATTTTTAATTATTTATAAAACTATTATTCTTATATCACTACTGGTATCAAATATAACAAACAAAATATATAGTAATAATTAGTAAATTATTGTGACCGATTATGGTAACAAATGTGTAATAATAATGTATAATAATTTTATATTATTATCCTATTACAGTAGACATACAATTTATATTTTTATCTTGCGGCTCCGTGCTTTCATGTGTCTGTGTTACTTGTTTTTCCAGCGGAAATTTGTATATATTTAGATATTAATTACAATGATGTTTTTTTTTTTAATATATAAATACATTGGATCTTAAATATCTATATATATATTTATTTCAAAACATATTATTATTTGCTTTTATTTTTTAATTAAAATTATGTTTACAGTAGGTATTTTATACCTGTTTGATTTAAATTACAAAAAAATTTCTACTTTTAATTAAATAAATAAAAAATATTTCATTACAATATTTGATGAGTATATTATGAGCTTAGTGGTAGGTATTAGATTTAAAACAGAGATATATTACAACCAATTAACAAAAAGTTTATACTTAAATTGTCTGGACACTCCCCCAAAAAACATTCAAAATACGCCACTAGCTGTAGGTACATGCAATTTTACAATTAGACTCTAAAAATAATAATCAAATTTCCAAATGGAAAATATTAATACCTACATAAACAGTTAATACGATTAAGATAAACTTAAATTTACTTATCTACGCAGGTAATGATATGAGTATATGTATACTTGATTTTATTATTAAATACATTTATCTGTTCACAGTATTCACACGCATCATACTCAATCTAATCTCACTCTATCCTGTCTTCTTTACAACCTAAGGACTACAAAAATACAATATAAATTAGATTCATACAGTTTATTTTTATACTTGCATATAATTGTTGTTAAAACGTTTACTTACGTTAAATGTACACACAATTTGCGTTACTGTAGGTATAAGACCCGAAGATTTTCACTTGACATATTGTATCTACCTATAATAGCCGACAAATAGTTTGTATAAAAAACCATGGAGTTCTGATTAATATTTGGAGGTTAAACATCAGAACACGTTTAAGTAAAGATAATTTACATAAGCCAATTAATATACAGTTTTTATATTCTGACTAATTTGTGTAATAGATTTTCCATACTTGACTTTTATTGCCTACGGTAATATTAAATTTCCAATTTTGTAATTATTGTTCGAGTCTGCCGCGGGTAATAGCTCTATAGATATTATTATTATAGTCGTCAGTCTTACCTTGTTTCCAGTAATTCTCGCGCATGAAACATTTCGCAATTTAATTATGCATAATGTGAATAATATCCGCGGTTTCAAAGGGTACATAATAATTTATTAGTAATTCGCGCACGAACGTCGAGCATAGAAACTTACGTAAGCAAAGGATAACAAATAATGTTTGCACGCAATTATGTGTTGTTTGGACGCGGGGCGTGGGCCCCTATACGTTAAACTTCTACTTTATAGAGAGCAATAACGTTGGTAGGTAGGTACACTGAAATCAGACAACGAGATTAATTAAACACTACCGTTCGGACGTTAAAACACACATTAAAACGTAGGTACTTAATATATATTATAATACCTGGTATAAAATAGAGTGATAAGTGAGTATATAATATATAATATACAGCAAGTGTAGGTACTTACTTAGTGAGTAGTGACTATGTACCTAAAATGTATGTGTTTCGATTTATTTTAATTGTTGTAATAACAGTTGATGAAAAATATTGTATTTATCTACAATTGTAGTGGCAGTCAAATACACGTTTTAAGAAGAAAAAAAAATTATCATAAATTTAGGTTGTAGTTGGTGAAACAGCAGAACATAGAAGTCCAAACCTTTTTTTCTATTTCGAATAACAATACATAAATATTGAACATAAATAATGATTATAAGAAATTAGTTGAGGATCGCACGTACGTGTATTTTTAAAAATAAATAGTTATATTTTTGCAAATTTATCTTTAATGTATACTTGATTCATTATTAAGAATTAAAAAAAATAAATAATTTTAAAAAATAAAATAATTACAAATATTACGAATAATAACATATTGTTGTTACATATTCATCAATTAGAGTTTTTTTTTTTAGAAGTAATTGTTATTTAATAACGTGTTGGTATTTTTAGAGTCTAGACGAAAATAAAATGTCTATAATTTAATTTAAAAAATGCACTATCATAGTAGTGGCGTAATTATGGGGGGAGATATGGGGATATATCCCCCCAGAGGCTTTTTTTTTTAGAAAACTATAATTAAATTCCCGTAAACACAAGTCTAGATTTTGAAATCTAAAACATCATGATTTCAGGTTGTGCCTTGTGGTATGTCATGTACTCGTGTACATAATTGAATTTCATTATCGGATATTATATTTTAGATAACGAGAGAGTGGCATAATTATATAATCTTATAGTCACTATATACCTGTGAACCGTTAGTCGATGATTATTGCAAATGCCAATCGAAAGCCTCGTATAGGCAACACGGCCGCCTCGAATATCGGTTATACTTATAAATAAATGTCGTATATTATTATTATTTATTTTATTTTTAATATACGTAACTGGCTAATAACAAACAAAATCTAATAACAACACTTGGCTATGTTTAAGGCGAAACAAATATTTAAAAACATTACCATTGTATAATTCATTTTTTGATATTGTATTTTGTTCCAAGTAAATGGATTCTTGTATAATCGACGTAAGTATATAATATTATAATGTTTTTCCAGTAATTTATAACTGAAAATAATATTGAAACGTATTTTTTTTTTAGATCGAACATAGACATGGATGAGAGGGGAGGGGAGGGGCTGGGCCGAGCATGCCCGGGTATATGAACGTGATAGCATAAAGCTATATGCTGAGCAGGATAGCCAGATTCGCCGGTTTTGCGGGGGATCCAGAACATACTATTGACGTGGATTGGCGGTGCTTGTTGGGTTCAGGAGATCTACCGGCAACTCACTGGACAGTGTGACTTATGAGCAGCGATTGTTATGGTCCTTTTTTAGGATGGATTTTATCATTCGTAGAACTATTATTATAATATTTGTTAATAATATTAATTGTGATATTACTGTTAGTATTACCTTTACCAAGGCTATTATCAATAGTACCATTACCAATCTCGTTTAAATGTTTGATGATTGTATTATTTGTATAAGATTTTTCTTTTGAAGTATTTTGTCTTATGGCATCATATACTATTTTGGGGAACCTTTTAGCAAGGACTAACAAAAGTTTGCTATAATTTTTATCCGCGATTTCTACATTTAGTAATCCTTGTTATTCTACTTCATTATTTTTTTCAATAATCTCGTCAAAATCTTTTAATGCTGATTCGTCGTATTCTATAGCCGTTTTATTCGAATTTCAGTTTAAAATATTTGAAATGTAATTTTATTTTTTTTGTCTGTCCATTGATATTCATTATATTCATTTTTGTCACAATAAATTATGATTGTATATTTTCAAAAATATATTTTTTGAATATAATATTTATGTAAAATTTAATTCTTTAAATATATGATTTAAAATTTTAAACAATAAAGGAATTATTTGTTAAAACCAGTATGTTGTTCTTTAACACATTATATAATATATTATTATCTATATATTATATTATTTATACAATAAACCTATTATTCTCAGTACTCGTTATTTATTTATACTTTTTCATAGAAAATAGTCTAAGAGTTAAATCACTGTACATAATATGTTAACTCTTGTACAAATCTGTGTAAGTATACTTGTTGTAAATGTTGTACTAAGCGCACAAAATATTTGCTTACTACACATGCAAGTTTTAAGTGTAATTTATTTGTACGGTTAATCACATTTATATCATATTATACATTTATAAAGTCTAAATTATAAAATTTTGTTAAAAATGCCTATGATGTGTTGTGTTATAACGTGTTGTGCTCTAGTCGTGGTAGTCGAAAAGCCAACAGCCCAGGAAAATTGCATTTTTTCAAGTAATTAAAAATTAACAATGCATGTTTAAACATTTATTAAATTAATGAAAATATAATTTAAGTACATAATTTTTATAAAATAGATTTCCTTCTGATGAGGCGAAAAAGCAAATGTGGGTTAAAGCTATAAAAAGAGAAAATTTTATTCCTACACGTTATAGCAAAGTTTGTAGTAAGCACTTTACAAACAACGGCTTTTACTATTTTTACATTTTAAGATTGAATGCTTAAGTAGTAATGCACAGTTTCCATCAACATTATATAGGTTTATATTGCCAGTCTCGACCACTGTCCACTTCACCAAAGCGTATGTTTTCCACTTTGAAAAGAGTAAAAACTTATCTAAGAAACACAATGGGTCAGATAATATTATTATTTTTGTAAATTACATAATAATTATGAACTTTTATTAAATTAAATACTTAATAGGAATTCTTGAATGGACTTACAATATTATCCGTGCACCGAGACATTGAGCTGAACTCCGATCACATACTAGATATTTTAGCAAAAAAAAACTAAAAAAAAAATTAATTTAATATTATAATAATTTATCAAAAATATATTAAATTTAATTTAATTGTTTACTTTATTGTCTTTGAAAACCATTATTTTATCATTTACCTCATTTAATTTATAATAATAAATTAATATAATATTATGATCTATGATATTTAATTGTCAAAGGGGGTGTGGGGGGCGTACCTCCACTAGAACGATAGTATAAACTTATATCCCACCCCAGAACCAATTCCAAATTACGCCATTGTATCATAGAGACTTTAATAAGTTATAAGTTTAATTTGTGTTACAAACGGGGCACAGCTTAAGTGGTTGGGAGCAGTTTACATTAGTTACACCATTTTAACATGGATAACATTTTGAGCACAGTTTATGTATTCCCAAAAAAATATAATACCGAGACACCCACAGATAAATTCATTTAAAAAGCGAAAAAAATAAATTAACATAGGTAAAAATAAAAATCAACTAAATTTATGTAAACTAATACAGAAAGTATCAATAACTAAAAAATGTATGATGAAATGTTAATAATATAATATTGAACCAACCAATCATAATCATTCATATTATCAAGTGTTAATATTAAAATATAGAAATAAAGATAGCGAAATATTAACAGCAAGAACGGTAACAAATTTAAAGGTAAAATTAACTTACTCGCAACTAACATAATATTTATTACAGTAAAAGAGTTCAGATTTTCAAAAGTACCTTATTATATATTTTTGTTTAAATTATTTTAGCGGAGTAATAAATGTATTTAATTTGCAATGTGTTTTTTATTTTTATCTAAATACACTTTTTATAGAAAAAAAATACTTGATTTTCTACTTTGAGTTGGGTAGTTGTTTAAATAACCAATTAGATCTAAAAATATTTCAGTACTTTTCAAAATAACTGCTGAGTACAAAAAATTTTACGAAACATTAATATTATCATATTGTAATTGTTGAGCTATCATAGTTAATACAATAATACTAATAGCTAAATAAAAATAATAATTCATAAAAACAATTCTTTATTAACCTTAGTAACCATAAAATTAGATCGCTTTGCTCAGATTCGTTTCTCATTGTGTACAATCATACTCATTAATACTCATTATAACTCATTAATAATTACATCTTGCTCAATGACGAGGTGCTGTACTGAAGAGCAGTTCAACAGTTGACGACTTAAATATTATAAAAACAAAAAATAAACTATAGAATTTTAAACGTACTATTTTTAACTTTAAGAGCATGCTTTACTAAAGATATTTTTAATATATTTTCTTTGGTTTTTGGGATATTAATTGTAGATTAATATCCAACTTGAATAGAATCCAAAATTAATCATGAACTTGATTTTTCGGTTACCTTAAAATAATCTTTAAAATGTTTACTTAAAAATATTTTCAATTATTTAATAATAATGGTAACAATAATAATTTAATGTTTTTTGGTAATAATTCCTATTTTATAATTGGTCATTTTTGTTATATTTTTCATGATCCTAAAATCTAAATTCTGCAGGTACTCTAATGATAATTTTAAAATATTAGTTAGTAATTACCTATAAATAATAATAATAATAAGTAATAACATATTATCTAATACATGATTAAATTACCAAAATATGTTCAATTTTTAGAAGTAATTACAGATATAAATAAAAATAAAGGAATTATATTAAATCTAAGATTAATTTTAAAAACCTTCATCTAAATATATTGGTTCCAAATAAGTTCCAGTGATTTTCTAATTTCTAAAATATTCAAATAAGAGTTTTGGAAAGGTTCTGGTTTTTAAACCAACTCTTTTCAATATGTTTCTAGTCTCTGTAGTTATATTTATGTTTGAAATTTAAAATGTAGTTTTAATGTTTTTATGGTTCTACTATAAACTAATAGTATTTTATTACTTTTCAAATTACAATAATAAAAATT